TTTTTTTTTTTTTTTGAATTTATAATGGTGGGGGTACCTTTTCTAATTTTCTAAGACTAGTCAATAGGAAAGTCCTATGGCTAGACCTAGGCTACTAAAGAAGTTTCTAGACCTCAACTAAAAGTGAGGTCAACATACTTTATCGCTGATATCTTCATTCATCTTTCCTACGAATACTCCAATTATGTTGTGATTTCCTAAAGCTCTATGAACTCAAAAAAAGCTTCATTTCATTTGCGGGTGCCTTGACACTGATAACTGGAGCTTAGGCACGACAGACACAAAGTCTACTTTCAACCTTCTCAAGTTGTGATTCTAGGCACTAGGTGTCCTAGCGCCCGTATGTAGCACCTACGCACTAAGGCTACAACTGCTTTCCACCTTCACTGTATTTATGAAAAATTTTGAGCTCCTAGGGCACCTAAGTGCTTGTCTCTGACGCCTAGATGCTGGTCCTTTCCCGAGCATTTCCATTGGTTCTTTAGTTCTGTTGAATCTTTGACCCTTAATCCTACAAAACACATCACTAGTACCTTCCAAACATTTAAAATTAACCAAAAAAAGATTCCAATAAAATTTATATTAGCATATTTTTTGTACACATCAATAGGCTTCATCAAAGAAGGATTTCAATATCACATTTGAAGAACTAAAATACATGATTTATTCTTTCAGAGATGGGTTGTAAAAAAAATGTCAAGAATTTATTAAAGAATGCAAACTTCAAACACCTTGAGCATGTTAAACCTAAAGAATTGGGAAGAGACAAAGAATATAGTTATTGTTTGTACCATAGGATGTTGCAACACATACTAGAACAATGATTCACCTTCAAAGTTTGTCTGGAAAGGAATTGTAATAATGTTACCATAATATATTATTCTTCAAATGATATATATAATCATTTAGAAAGAAATCTTCCAAGACCTGTGATAGACACATCAACCAAACCCTAACAACAAATATCAAGGAATTTTCTTTTCCACCGGCATCGTTTGGGTGATATGTTTATTGTAATTCAAAGAAAGGGCAAGCAGCTTATATGGATAGAATAGAACCTTTGTGTGGAATTTCCAAGGAAATGGGCCACTCTAAAGTATCAAAGGAAGAGGGTGGCGATTCAACAAAACTGGGGATCGAGCATGGGGGCATGGGCGCCTTATTATACATTGGAGGTTCGATCCAGTACAATATAAATTTGATAATATCCATTCAATACTCAATAATTTATTTATGTAATTATCTGGTACCTAATATTTTTACAAGTTAGTACATCCTGAAGCTTTGACTGGAGCTCAGTGTTACTGAGTTACAATCATTGATGCATTAGTACCTGGGAACACAACTGTGGGTCGATGACAGATACTGACATATTATGTAAGTAAAATATTATTTTGTTTTTTACAATTTAATTACAATCTTAATATAAATTTTTAATTATTCTTTGTTTTTACTTTTGTAAGAGGACTACGAGTGTCTGAAGGAGACCCAGAGTCAGAGCCCGACAAGACTTGATAGTAGCAATGGTTAGTCACTGTCTAACCAGTATGACTTAGAGATCTAAAGGGAAACTGCTAGGAAGAAGAATAAGACAGTCTATGGTTTGGGCGCCTAGGAATTTATCTACAAGTCTGATCACTCCCATTCAACTTAGTGTAAGAGGTCATCATCATGACTTTTGATGAACTTGCAAAGCACAACATTGTTGCAAGCAACCTCTTAGTGATGTGCCGTAGGAGGAGGAGGAGGAGGAGGATGAGGATGACCATGATTCCCCATTTGTGCTTTATTTCTTTTTTATTTTATATTTGGGTGTGATATTTTATATATTTTTATTTTGCAAATATTTTAGAAATTTATGTATTTCATGATTTATTGGATATTCTGAGTTATGTATGATAATTTTATTCGTTGTCAATTTCTCTATATGTTAGTTAAATTTGTTGTTAGATATGTTTGATGGTGGTGTTGAATGTTATGATCTTTTTTTTATAATACATCTAATTTTTTCCACCATTGGTATACATGTGATTGGTTTATGGTGAAATTTTTTGGATTTAAATGAGCATCAAATGAAATCAGAAGCTAATGCAACATTCCACACGACTGTTCTAGTCTACCACAAACTATACTATACTTGAAAAAGTTGATGAAAATCCGATGCAATTGTGTGGCAAATAAAAACATTCAAATTTAGCAGCTAATAATACGTGTGATCGTTTCCATCACATGTATACTAATAGTAGAAAGAATTAGACTTAATACAGTCTCAAATGTTAGCGAGGAAAATTATTTGAAGTTAATTATTTTGTTATTAAGGTACTAGCATCATATATTTTTTTGTTGTTGAATTTCAATTGGTAATAACGATTTTCTGCTGAAATTCAATCTATTAACAGTTGATTTGTCGATCAGTAATTTCAATTTATCTTGTAGGCCGTATAAGGGGCATATCCTGAACTACCCCAATTCTCTCTTTTCTTAAAGATGTAAACTACACTGGCCTTCTGAGTTTTGGTTTTTGTGTTTCTTCATTTGATTGATTATTTGTTTTGTGTTTACTAATGTGATTATAAATGACATGATTTTTCTAAGTTTGATAGTAGTGTGTTTTGGCTTAGATTTATGTGTGTTAGGTTCTTAGTTAATAATTTTTAACCCTGCTTAATAACTTCTATAAAATATTTTTAAAATCAAACAAACAAACAAAACTAAAAATAAAATAAAATGAACTACATTCACACTTTAGCATTGTATGACATATAAATAACATTAAAATTTTGAGTATATACTTTGTAGAATCTAGACTGATTGCACGAAGATCATATGTATCATAAAATTATATAGATCATTGAGGATCACAACCCATATAGAGTGAAGTATGTTTCTTAAACTTGACTTAGCCTTAAGATCTTCCACACATATATTATTAAGGATTACATAACCCATTGCATAGCCTTATGATCAAAAGACTAAATATTAAAAAAACTGCATCAATTGGTTAGCTTAGTTAGTCTTATAATAAAATTTAAACTTTAAAATATAAAATGATTGCAGAAGTTATAGACATTGCTTACTAGATAGACTAAGGCCATTTGATTTTAATAATCAAGTTGTCATACATTCTTTTTGTTTTTAATAAATAACAACACAACTTATCCTACATTTCATATGTACAAAACTTTTGATTTTGAGATATTAGGAGGTTTAGCTGGCAATTCTTTTTAGGTGTGATTGTAAGTCCAATAGAGTCATAAATAGGACACTAGAAGTGCTACTGAGCTTATCGGTATCCAAGCGCTATCAATTTTTTCTCCTTTGAACTTTGAAAAAAATGTTCCAAATTGAACTATCCACATTTGAAAATCCAAATAAAAATCATTAAAACTAAAATTTAAAATTCTTAGAGTCTTAGTTGTAGCCTTAATCAAGAGTTTACTCATGAGATTTTCTCTCTTAAGATATAATTAACTATAGAGATTTGTCCTTATATGAAGCTTGCAATCAAAATTAATCTGAACCCAATCTAACCTTCTCGTTATGTAGGACAAAGATTTATTGGTTGACACAAATCCATCAAATTTGATAAAATTCTTTACTTCTGTGATCAATTCTGCATCTCGAGATAGTAAATTACTTACAATGCCAAATTTGATCACAAAAATAAAATTAATACTTTCAAAATCCCCGTGGTGTTACAAAATTTAACTAACATGATCAAGAAAGCGTGGTTGGACAACAATAGCTACTAATGGTGATTATCAATGCTAGATGTTTGACATAGCTTTAGAATTCTTCAAAGCTCCACCATCTATCTAATTTTAATCTTCCAGTCTTAGGTAGAAAACAAAACTTTATTTATAATTTCTGAGAATTGCATGTCAATTAGTTTTGGTCAAAGTCTCAAAACACTTCATTGAATGACCTCTTATCATTCTTTTGATTATATCATAGTTATTCAACATGTAACTATTTTAATTATTTTAGAATTGAATGATCATAGACTTGTTGGATTTTCTCCTTGAGATACTTAATTAAACTATAAGGTTCTAACATTCAATAATTGTTTGATCCTTCAACTATTGTTTCTGAGTCTATAACCATATTTTAATTGTTTATTTAATATTATTTGTGATGCAAATCCATTCAAGTATGAATCTAGATTTAGGATTTGAATATGAATTTTTAGAATAGAAAAATTTTGTGCTCAGATGATAAAGATGAACATGAATCTCTGGCACCTTCTTAATTTAAAAGAGTATTGCTGCACATTCAGAAATTCATGTAAATGTTTGTAAAGGTCATTAAATCTTCTATCTCCTTACCTTGCAACCAATATTACCAAGAAATCAGCCAAAAATGAAGAAGAAGATAATCAAGATAATATCAACTTCCAAAGCCATTCTCTCATTGATCAGAACCCCTTTAACTCATAATAACAGTATTTGCTCCAAACCTATCACACTCATCTTCTACATAATAACACCTTATAATACATCAAAAGAAACAAAACTTCAGCCTAAACAGAATCAAAGAGAAGAAATGATCAGGCTAACTTAACAAGCTTAACGGCTGGGGCAATGGATCCTTGTCAGCAGAATTTTCAAAGCTCTGCAACTCAGGAACCTCCATGATGCTCTCTAATGCCGGCTGCCACCTTTCTTCTTCCTTCCACTGACGCTCCTTAAGAATCTGAGCTAGCAGAGCTTCCAAACTCATCTTCACAGGCTTCTGCTCCATCTGCTGCATCAACCAATCCAACTCAGGCTTCGTTAAAACTATTCTGACCATTTTTGCTCCCTCAGAACCTCTCTCTACCTTCTTCAAATCCTCCTCCACTTCAGGAGAGCTCTTTTCCATGCAATTCCCCATCTCTCACTTCCTGCAACAAGCTTCAGAGAGAGAGAGAGAGAGAGAGAGAGATCCTATGGATCTGTTGAAATATAAGGAGGAAAGGAGGAGGCTTGAGTTTTCTTTTTGGTGGAGAACAGAGGATATGGAGGAGTGTTTAAAGAGGTGAAATTCATGGGAGGGAGAGGGTTGGTTCCTGTCTTTTAATCTCATCGTCTACCATGGTTTTGTACTGTTTATGGCTGGGTTCCACTCAAGGAATCTATATGTTGTAGTTTCTGCAGGCCTAAATTCTAATGTATTTCATTCAGTTTTTCCGGCCATGCATTAGCACAAATGGCGCCAGGTTGAAGATTTTGGTGGTTCCATATAACTAAAATGACAAAAAAATAATTATTTAAAATGTATAATATTTTTAATGATGGTACAATTAAGTGATTTAATATTTAAAGAATGTAATAGTATTTTACGCCAACATGAATCCAACAGAGAAAAATACAACAAAGGAGGACCCACTAGCAACGTGTATCTAACTAGACATAGCAGCTAAAACCAAAGCCAAAGCTAAACCCGACCAGATGTAACCTTCCAAGCCAGAGATTGCAAGACTAAAGGTGTCCACATGGTCCAAGCTTGAACCCATCAGGCTTGGACAAGACAGTAGCAGGCAAGCCAACCACAATAAGAAAGCTTATCGAAACTGACAAGCAACCTTTCAGTAAACCATATCAGAGGACAGACTCAGCACCTCATTACCATCAATCAACTCATTGACTCCCTAGAGGCTCCTTCTGATTGCTCGAAAAGTAACCTTGCCATAGGAAATCTAAACGATTTTTTTGGTTCTCCTTGTTGAGGGGTGAAATACCGAGCAAATTATGTTGATTCACTCTCTACCTGATAGCCTAGCGTTGCTCATCCAATAAGAGCTTCTCCCTAGGGATCAAACGTCGAAAGTCATAATAGATCAGCTGATCGGCAAAGTCTAACCAATCGGGCCAGTTTTGCCGACTTAAAGACCAATGAAAGCCGACCGACAATCTCAACTCAACATAATCGAACGAGCAGACCATAGCGAACCAAGGCCCACCAATCTCATCGACCGAGTCAGAAGATAACTGAGCCATCGGCCCATACATGTAAAATACCTGAAATATTTTGTAACGCCCTCATTGCAGCAATGACAATATTGTATCGCTTCCCATATAATAAGAGATCATTTTATGAAATGGACAAAATATTTTATTGTTCATTACTATGCATTTCTCTATATATATCTCTATCTCTTTCTCCTGTCTTACACTCTAATTCTCGAGGTGTGATTCACAAACATATCAGAACTCAACAAGTATATCCAAATCCTTATATATTTCAAGGTGTTATCTGATAGAATAAAATTCATATAGCTGTAAATTTGTGTATATGTCTACAATGTGATTATTAGTGCCAATGAATTTTATATCCAAATAACCTCAAATACAAGAACTCAAATTTAGTGATGAAAGATCTAAATGCAGATCATGAATGAATTTTGCATAAGTTTTGGCTAAGACAACTGCACTAAAATTATCACTTTTGATAAAAATGTTTTCAGAAAAACTTCCATTTATTGCATTAGCCAAAGTACCTCGGCTAAATAACTCCCTGTGGTGACAGAACTCCTTGCTGTTACATATTGATCAACTTCCTTAGTACGTGATAGAACTACGTTTTGCTTCAAACCAGTCCATGAACTATATGAAGTTCCTAAATATACGAGTGCCCAAATAATATAACTATGTTCAGCTATTGTTGCATTCTAGAGAATTCTCCGAGATAAAGATATATTAACGTCTTAGCATTATACGAATCCAACATATACAAAAGTAATAAAAGAGTTGATAGAGAAGACGCCAGTTATTTTATGGGAAAAAACTTGAAAGAGAAAAAATCACGGAACTTGACTCCATTGAAATAAATCAACTATTCAAATGTATGTTGCATGACTTTGTTTACTTTTAAATAGCATAAAATAATATTATTGGAATGTGACAAAAGATTGGAAAGTGACAGCTTCCCGGCTGCAATGATAGAAGACAGACGTCAGGGGCTCTGTGATAACATTATGGATTCATTGTCATTGATGGTAGTGGCATCTAGGTAATAGAGATTCAACAACATTAGTAGCGATAGCCATGCGATGGTGATTTGATGATGAAGATTTGAAAACAAATCTCTAATGGTGCCAATAACATTGGTCGGGCATTGACAATTCCAAGGTAACTACAATAATGACCAAGTAATGCTGGTCGCGGCAACAACACCAACAACATGACTGGATTCCAATGATTGATAGGAGAATATAATCTAACAATAATGGGCACCGGGAGATAGTGACCCCGTGAAGACGGTAGTGGTTTGGTGACAACACTGGTCAATGTGGTGTCAATGAGGCAATAGTAGTCCATCAACGACAGTTTTGGGCCAACGATGTAGGCCGAGTGACGGTGGCACGAATGTGATGACGATTAGGAGATGGTGATCTAGCACTAATTGCAGTGGCAACGAAAATGTTGTTTGCTAAACATAACAATTGGATGATTGTGGTAGGGGTTTGGTGCCATAGACTAAGCGATAGTGGTTTGACAACAATGGAGGTGGCTAGGCAATGATAACGAGAGTAATGCCATTGGTTGGATGATAGTGATTTGACAGTGGTGATGTAACACATCAACGACAGTGATTTGGTGATGGAAACAAGCTGACAAATGTGGTCTGGCGTGGCATTGACAATTGCTAGGAGATGATGATCCGACGATAGTGATAGTGTACCATAACAACGGCGGAGGTGGCTCACTGTCGGTCAGGTTTTGGTGGTAAAGAAAGCCCAATGATCATGGTTGGGCACTACGTCAGTAGTCCAATGATGGCAGTTTGATGGTTACAACAATAACTAAGAGATGGAGGTGGTCGCTCGATGTTAGCTATTTAGCACATTGATAGTGGTCGGCATCAGTGGTCTGACAAAGTAGCTTGTAGCTTGGTGGCAGCGACAGTAATCTGATGATGGTGGTTCAATGGTAGCGGTGGTGGATCGGTGTCAAATAAATGACAGTGGTTCGACAGTGTTGATAGCTCAACAATGATGATTTGGTATAATGGTGGTGGCTTGATATTAGTGGTTCTATATGACATCAGTAGATCGGTGTAGAACTGATGATGGTGGTCCAATGGCGTGGTGACATCCTAATGATGGTGTTCCAACACAATGGCGATGGCCTAATGTCGATGATGAGGCGTGGTGGTAATGGCTTGATGTCCATGAGATGATGGTGGGTCGGTAGCAACAAAAGCCCAAAAATGGTGGTTCATCACGTTGGCAGTGGCTTAGTGTCGATAGCTTGACATAGGTGGTCCGAAAATGACAACTTGATAGTGACAGTAGCAGCCAAACGACGATGGTCTGACGTGGCGACAACTACTCATGATGGGGTCCAGTGGTGGTGGAGCTTGTTAATCCTTAAAGAGTTTGGAGATCCCTTCAGCATTCTCATCCTAGTCCATCCTCACTAAATAATCCTAGAATTCGAACCAGTTCAACTGACAGCCCACAGTAATTCCATTGATTGTAATTCTAATTTTATCAGTATATATATATATATATAAGATTAATTGACGAGCAGAACAGTTCGGACGTGCGGTCACTGGACGGAATATTTTCTCCGAGATAGTGCAGGAATCTATATATTCTAGTTTTGATAGGCCTAAATTCTAATGATATATTATTTCTTTCAATTTTTGCAGCCATTTCATATGGCAAATGTTGTCAGGGTTTGGAGGTTTAATTATGAATTAATGGAGGAGCAACTATAATTACCTGAAAATAATTATTTAAATGGTATAAAATTTCTAACAATGATATAATTAAGTGATCTAAAATATAAGGAAAATAATAGTATAATCAAAATCCATTTTTATTTCAGGAATTTAGTGATGAAGGATCTCAATGCATATTATACCTCAAAAAAGTGTCTTCACTAATTTTATAAAGTATTAACAGTTTAGAAGAGAAGAATACCATAGAAGTAGATCCCTTCAAAGAGATCGTGAGGTCGACCAAGCCAACATGCCAAGTTTGGAATAAAGAATATATACTTGGAGAATAAAAAAATATATGAATAAAAATAGCTGGTTTACAGGAACTAGGGCGAGGAGGATCCTTTGTAAAGAGGGTAAGAATATAAGAGGTTTTGTTATAAAAATTGGTTTAAATGTAAAATGTTACAGAACAGGGAAAAATTTAAGGTGGTATGTAGAAAGACTAAGACAACAATAATGTATGATGATAAGAATTCTGCATAGTGACCTTCATAATAGATTGGATACCAAAGAGAGTAAAAATAAATGTATAAATAAGCGAAACAAAGAGAAAAAATAAGTAAATATTTAATTCAACTAAAGTGTATTAAAGATGAAAATAATAATAAAAAAAAACTAATTTTCTTAGGTAAATATATTCAACATAGGTGGGTGAGATATTTTGATAATCTTTTCAATGGATTTTTTTAAAACAATTTTAACATCGTTAATAAAAATAAAACTTTTATTTTTATCGTCACATTGTTAAAAAAAAAACTAAATTGACTTTAAAGAAAATCAATGGTGAAAAATCAGTAAGACCTCATGATATGCTAATAGAAATGTAAAAATATTTAGAAGATTATGAGTTTCTTGGCTTACAAAACTTTTTAATATTATTTTGAAAACTAAAAAAATGCTTGAGGAGCGGTGGAAGGGTATTTTGGTCCCTATTTTTAAAAATAAAGTGGATATATAAGAGGTGTAAATTATATAGGAATTAAATTAATGTGTCATTCATTAAAATTATAAGAGAGAGTAATTGAACATATGTTAAGACGTGACATGAAGATTTCTCATCATCAGTTTGGATTTATGTCGGGCAAGTGAACTTTGAAAGCTACACATTTATTGAGAGGTTTGATGAAGAAAAAAAGAGAAAGTAAGGAGGATCTACATATAATTTTTATTGATTTAGAAAAATCTTGTGATAAGGTTCTAAGAGTTCTTTGGAGAGTTCTAGAAAAAAAAAAGGTGTTGATATGACTTATATTTGAGTCATTAAGGATATGTATAATAGGCTAATATTTGTGTTTGAATAGAATGAGGATTGACCAAGTAATTTCCTATTTCAATTGGTTTATATCATGAATCGGCTTTAAGCCCATATCTTTTTGTTTTAGTTATGGATGCTCTTAATGGAGATTTACAAGAGGATGTATATTGGTGTATGTTTTTGGTTGATGATATCCTTCTAGTGGATAAGATTAGAAGAGTTTTGAAAAAAACTAAAATTTTGGATGTCTACATTAAAGTCTAAAGGCTTTTGTTTGAGTAGATCTAAAACATAATAGATTGAATGTAATTTAAGTACTAGTAGTTCTATTGATATAGTTGTAACAATATGCGATCAAACCATTAAAAGGTGTGAATATTTTAGATATCTTGGGTTTATTATTCAAAGTGATGGTGATATAAATGGGGATGTTATTAGTAGAATTCAAGGCAGATGGTTGAAGTGGAGGAATGTATCGGGCCTATTGTATAATATAAAAACACCACTTAAACTTGAAGGAAAACTTTATAAAATGGTGGTGAGACTTGCAATGTTTTATGGCATAGGATGTTGACCTTTAAAAGAACGAGAAACATAAAACTAAGTGTTGCTGAGATGAGAATACTTAAGTGGATGAGTGACTTGACACATGGAGACAAAATGTAAAATGAATGTATCCGTGAAATGTTTGGTGCAGCTCTAGTGGCAGACAAGATTATAAAAATTCATCTTAGATGGTTTGGTCACATTATACATTGACCGTTGGATAATCCAATTAGGAGAATAAATGCTTTAGATTCAACTTATTTTAAGAAAGTAAGAGGTAGACCTAAAAAGACTTGGGTATGTAGCATAAACTATGATTTTAATTTGTCAGAATTAAATGAACATACAACACTCAATAGAACACAATGGAGAAAAATGATTAATATAGCCGACCCCACAAAGTGGGGATAAATGCTTGTTGTTGTTGATGTTGCTATATTGGATTTATAAGAATTTGGTGATATGCATGTAAATGCCACGAAAACAAAGGGTTACAATCAAAAGCATTCATCAAGCATAAAAAGCACACGTGGAACAAGCAGTGCAAACATGCAAATCTAAAACTAATGGTACCTATGAAATTCAGTTCGCATATACATTTCTTTTATAATATGTCGTACATCATTGTATTCAAGAGCACAACGACATACAACATAATTATAAGAAAAAATTACATACATGCGAACTCCGTACCTAATATCTTGTCAATAGCATAACCCCATGGACAAGGTCCCCACAAGCTCCGCGCACGGCCACGGTTCCACGCCCACCGCCACCCCACTAACCGCCGCGCACCTCCACTTCTCCATCCTTCCCCCAACTCCCCACAACCTCACATTCGACAAACAAATGCGCGTGAAAGGCGAGTCCTTTATCCCCTCAATGGATCCCGGCTCCCTCACCCCCACCCCCCACACATCCCTTATCGTCACTCCATCCACCCTCGTCAGTGCTCCGGGATTGAAATTGCCGTCCGGGTGGTCTCCAACATCGCCGACGATTCTCACACCCTCTGTCACTCTGCTCATATGCACGTCGGAGATGGTGACGTTTGTGATGAAGCCGCCTCTGCCGGCGTTGGTCTTGATGTGGATGGCGATGGCTGTAGAATGTATGTTGATGTTGTGGATGAGGATGTGCTGGATTCCGCCGGAAGCTTCGCTGCCGATTGCAATGGCGCTGAAGGGGGAGGAGGCGGTGATTCTTTGGATGGTGATGTAGGTGGAGGGGCGGCCGTAGGAGATGACCGCTCTTGATGGCTATTGCGTCATCGCCGGTGGAGATGAAGGAGTCTTCTATGCACACATTTGAGCTTGAATCTGCAATTTTTTTTTCTTTGCTTAGGTTTTCAGAATGTAAAGGATGATCCTTTGAGCTAGGAGAGTGAAAAAAGAAAAGGGAATATTACTTGAGGATAGGATAAGTGTGAAAACGTGCAGTTTTGATGGTATTTGAATGGTATTGTGACGTCATTTTGATGAATATCATCACAATAACACTCTAATATCACGAATACGATAATATATTCTCGTGAAAGATTAGATATTACTCTAGAACCGCAATATGTTTTGGTGAAAGATTAAGCATTTATGTACATACAACCCAATTCTTATGTATTTACATATCTAAGGCCTAAATTTTGAGTTTTATATTTATAACACCAAAATCATTCAAAAATCACACTATTTTAACTTATAAAAAGATGAAATCCGCGTTTCATGCAGACGTAAGGTGATATGTATGTAAAAAATAAAGTTTAGGTGATAGATATGTAAATAGATATGACCTCATTGATATGTAAATCTTCCTCGAAGGAAACAAGTAAATTTACCTTAATCTCCCCAAGTTCAGAACAGAACTTGCATGGGAGATATATGCTTCACAATAAATTTACTTAAAATACAAATCATGAGTGAAAGAATTGCTCTCTATTTAATGTCTTTGACATCATTTCTAATAATAAATGAAGAATAAAGTTGACAAAATCACCTGGGTCAATTCCATCAGTGTTGGGAGAGTCATGTGGAGCCAAAACAGTAACTGATCTTATGACAACATTGCTGCAGTAAACTGGATGGATGGTCCAGAATGGGGAGTTTTTGAAGATGACATTGGAGATGTGGATGTCAGTTGAATGCATGAATTCGATGAGATTTGGCCTTGTGAAGCCAAGAGTTCTTTGTCTCCACATGTCCCACCATACTCCACCTTGACCATCAATTGTTCCATTTTCTCCTACAATGTCAGCCAAACATATTTCATTGCCAGTCTGAAACATGCAGTATATATAACATTGATTGTTGGACCAAACCATTAAGCTTTATGAAGCAAGATCTAGTTCATGCCTTATCTAGGAGGATAAATCTATAAAATGTTATGCATTCTTGCACTTGCGAGATCATGTTCGTGCAACTTTCGAGTGACTAACGAGCATTGAGCTAAAATCGTGAAAGTCATAGTCCTAATATTATTAGGACCCTTAACAAATCCAATTTCAAAATGAGCTTTGCTCGGCTCAAAATCAGTCTGAAAAAGAATCGATTCAAAATTTTGGCCCGTAGATTAGTTTATCTCGATCAAATCTCGATTCGAGCCGAAATTTAAATCAATCTTTGAGCGAATCACATGTCAAGAATCTGGCATTTTGAAACAAGCCACGTATGTCAGATTAATAGAATGATTTCCACATGAACAGCTCACTATAAATCATATCTACAGGACAAAAAACCAATCTTACCTAATTTTGTTCTGTATATATACACGCATTTAATTTGATTTGTCTGTATCTGAATGAGTTGATTAAAATGATTCTTTAAGTTTATAGAATCATAATAATAAATAGAGAAATTACCCGTTATAATGACATCACGAAGCCCATAACCCTGAATGAAGCTGGCATACCTCCCTCCGGGTCTCTCCCTCCCTCTCCCATATGATGGCAAAGGCTCCACCAATGGCCACCTCTCAGTATCCTGCCAATAAACACATTTTAAATCTTCAGTCACAAAATTTGTATGCGTCAAAATAATTCCAAATTATTTTAAAATCGATCTTTAAAGTATCAAAAAATATTATGTTCGGAGTCCAGACGCAGACAACGGATGTAAGTTACTTCCGGGCAACAGACAGATACAACGGGAGTGGTTGTTTTCTTTCTCCTCCTCTTCGTCAGTGTATCGCGTTTGTTGTCCGGATGTAGCTTGCGTCCGTTATCAAATATTTTTTCCAAATATAAATATTTTCTCTTAAAGTACTGACTTACCGCATAAATCATACCTGAATCGAACCTTCAACCCTTTGCCAGATAGAACCTAACAGTCTTCTATAGTGAGTATATTGATCTTATTTTGATATTTCTATAAACTCTGAGATTAAAATATTATCATATTTTTGACACATTAATTTATATGAGAAGAAAAAGAAGAGAAAAAATTGACCTGTGTGGCCTTAATCACAGCTCCTCTAGCAAGATAGAGAGTCATATGACTAGTAACATTGAAGCATCCAGTAAGCCAAACGCCTCCAGGAACATAGAGAAGCGTGCCACCTCGTCTCCTCTGGTGCTGAATTCTGTACATTGCCTTCCGAAATGCCCAACTATTATCTGTTCTTCCATCCCCAACTCCTCCAAATTCCTCAATGGAGATGACCTCCCTTCTGCTTCTCATCGGCACTATTCCCGCGCAGCTCTCCACCTCCTTCGCCGCCGCTGGCGGCCACTATGTCTAGCTTGAATTTTCTTTCTTTTATCTATTACCTTTCTCTTTCTTCCTTAGGTTTTCATTTTTTAGGGGGTGTTTGGCAGCACTGTTTTAACAGGATTTAAGTCATGAATTTAAGGAGACGGATTTGCTAGATTTACGTTACCGTTGCTTGTGACCTTTGTTCCCGTCACGAGCTAATGTAAATCCGACCGTGCAGTCAAGCACACTCTTAGAAAGTCCAAGGAGGGGACTCCAAGGAGAGATTTTTAATGGCGGGTTTAGAGAACAGGGGAGGAGATAGAGACAAGGGAAAGGGAAAGCAGAGTGTTGTTGGCGAGCTCGTGAGCTCTTTGAGAGGGAGGGGAAGATAAAGATAAAGTTGTCTTCTCTCTCTTTGGCGGAGGTAATGGACAGAATGTTTAGTTTATCGAGCCATGTTAATAGTTTAGTGCTTTAGGAGCTGTTTTGTTGATTTAAAATGGAGAGTGGAAAACTTAGTGGGAGGATCGTGGTGAAGATATGATGTATATTTAGCTCCATTTTTTTCTCGTGTGGTTTATTTATAATGAAGTAAGAATTCAAGCCTTTTATAGGGATAAAAATTGTCTAAAGTAGTGGTGAAAGTAATTCAAGTGGGATTCGAGCAAGGATTGGGTTGAGCTCGAGATTGATTGATTGATTAATTAAAATTGAGCTCAAATTTGAACTTAAATCTTGTTGGAGAAAAGAAGTTTAGGAAGATTTACATGCATACGAGTCAATTCTTAAGTATTTACATATCAATCTTGTTTTGTTGTAAGAGAGAGTAGAACCTGAATGGTATTGCGCTTCAGAATAGGTGCAAATATTTCTTAGCGGTTAATCTTATATGACGTGTAAAGTTTTTAGCTAACAATCTGGCATTAAATCTCTCTACACTTACATCTCTTTTACACTTAATGGTGAATATTCATTTGCAGCTTACAATATTTTTTTTTTCTATGAGGTAACTCTATAAAGCTCCATGTGTTATTATTTTCTGGAGCCCAATGTTAGCCCAATGTTATTCTTCAACTGTTTGTTTCTATATTAGAACCTTTAGGGCCACTTGAATAGAGTTGAGAACTGATGCACAATCAAGATTTGTCACAAAAGCCCTGTAACATGGCAATATCTTTCCATATGCTACATATCTTTCTATTGAATGATCAGTCCACCTTCGGACATGAGATAAGAAAGTCATACCATTATGTTTATCAGGTTTAGGAGGACTTGGTTCAGGTTTTTAACAGTCCCTGATCTATATAGTGTCCCTACATGCTCAACGATTATTTTCCTTCTAGTATAGGCACAAATTTTCAGATCAGTGAAATAAGTTGAGGAGTAAAATGACAGAGTTTAGTTCCTTAAGTGGAGATTGTTGAGTGGTAGGATTTGGTTAAGTTGTTTGAGTGACGAGATTTTAATCAGTTTAAATATCTTAGTGAAGATCTCATATTTGATATTCCATCAAGTTGTTCCTTTCCATTTCAGATTTCTAAAAGTGTGCTTGTTTCTCAAAGAATTTGACATTCATGAAGTTATATATTTTTCTAGTGATTTGAGAGTAGCATTTGTATCCTTTTTGGTTAAGGAATAATCCAAAAATATACATCTAAGAGATTTAGGATAGAATTTGGTGCAGTCTTGGATGATGTGTGCAAAGGCGAAACAACAAAATACTTTCAATGGTAAGTAGGAAGAAAAGAAGCACATATAGCTAGGATTCCATAACAATATTACACAAGAGTTCAAATTTTTGTACTTAACCAGAATTTCTATTTATGAGATATGTGGTTGTGAGTATAGCTTCCCCCAAAAACTATTTAGGCACATGGTTAAAGATTATAATGACATGGGCCACCTCAAGTAAGTGTTTGCCCTTCCACTCAGCGACCCCATTTTGTTGAGAAATATCCACATAATAACTTATATGGATGATATCCTACTTGAAAGAAAAGGACCATTAATGGAGTTAAAATGTTCCTTAGCATTATTAGTTTTAAGAACTAATTGAATTTCACTTTGGAATTGAGCAAGGATCGTGGAATGAAAGGACTGAAATATGGTGGCAACATCAACTTTTCTTTTATAAGAAATGTTCAAGTAGTTTTAGTATGATCCTTTATAAATGATAGAAGCCAATCTGCCTCATTTTTAATTTTAAATTGGGAGGTTCCCCAAATATCAATGTGAATTACACTAAAAGAATGTGAGGCTTGTTTTGTAGTTTAGAGTATACAAGGTTGATCTGTTTTACAAGATGGAGCATTTCACACTGGTAGCATTGGGCTTTTTATTGATAAATAGATGTGAAAAAATTCTTTTCAATATAAGGAAAGTTTGAATGACAAGAACGACACTATCTAGACATGACTTTACTTTCAACTAAAGTGGACTCAAAATTGAAAACTAGAATAAGAAAATTTGAACTATAATCAAAAATATAATTTAACGGATGAATTTGCCCACTGATGAGATTAATTCTAAACATGCATTTCAACACTATCAATCAATTTTCCAAAATTCACTAGTTGAAAATAAAATAAAAAAAAGATTAAAATTTAGTCACACATTTTAATTCACAAGCAAATTTGGTTATTAGGAGTATACTACAATCAAATTTTAGAATATAAAAAATTAAGTAGAGGTGAATGTCATTTATCAATTCAACTGATCATGTTCTTGCTAATGGTGAGAATGAACTGTCAGCTATTCCAATTACATGGAGACTAGGGCATGGGTTGTAAATTTTGAAGACATTGTTGTATCCCATCATATGATCTTAAGCTCCAGAGTCAGCTATTCAAGTGTGTTTTATTGCTCTGATCAATAAGAACTTGGGGTAAGATACATTGGAGTGCTGGCGAACTGATGAATGCCCTAGTAAAGGATTGTGATGCTTGTCCTGAACTATAACCATGACCCTATATTTTCTATAGTGCCTCATTTTGCTTCCTTATGAATGGGTTGAACTTTATATTATTGTTGATGGTGATAATAGTATTTGCATGTTTCTCTTTATCATTTCTTCCATTGGATGGCTTTCAATTGAAAGGTTTTATGTGTAATTTCGTACATTTTTCTTCACATGATCAAGTTTCTTATATTGATTGAACCACAGTTATCCTTTCCTGAGCTTATTATGTGGAGAGGAGCTATGAGAGTACAATTTTAACCCTTCAACAAATAGTGTGGTGAGATTGCTACCATTATTGACTCCATATTACTTTCCTCCCTTCAAACTTCTACAAATGCCTCCTGGATGATAGGAAGAGGTTTAGTTCTCATTATTATGCCCTGACTTCATCCAACTATTTATTGAGGTCAAGAGGAAATTTGATGGTCCTCTTTTGTTCAATAATATTTCTATACAAGGAAAAGTGGTTGGGGCGTTTCCAAAATTAAATCTCATACATGTCCAGTTGCAACCATTAAGTGTAAGAGTATTGAAAAATTGAGCAACACTTAATTCCCCTTCTCATAAATCATGTGGTTCGGTATTACTCTCAAATAACTCTTAGTTTTCAGTGCTAAAATAGGTTTCACATGCAGCTTCCCATAGTCTCTTGGTTGTCCTATATAGCAAGGATTTTTTTTTTCAAATTTGCGTGATCATGGAATTTATTAATCATGACATAACTAAGTGGTCATCAATTTTCTTGGCTAGGTATTTAGAATATGCCATTTCAAGAGCCAAAATTTGTCTTTTGAGAAGTCCAATTTTTCTCTAAAGTAGACATGCATGAAGACATACTGTGACCATTGAAGAAAGTTCTTGTTACGTAGTTTGTGGTTAGTGACTAGGTGAGATGAGTTGTCAGGTAGAGTGGTTAGTGAGTATGTAGGCTCAAATCTAGAGGGTACTTCTGAGGAAGAAGATCATGAGGTCATGAGGTCATGTCAAATTTGACCATGATGAGATTGTGAAACTTGAATCGTGAAGACCTACTGCATGAACAAAATCAAAAGAAATTCCCTTAAGTTTGTCGCTCGACTGGACGAGGCGAGGAGGATCCTTTGTTCAACTACTTGACTGGATGTGCGAATAGGAACTAGAGGAAGATGCATAACTCTCAGTTTTCAAGAGTTAGACACAACATGACTTCTGAGAGGACTGCTAGGGAATCGTGAAGACCTACTACATGAACAAAATTGAAAGAAATTCCCTTAAGTTTGCTGTTCGACTGGACGAGGCGAGGAGGATCCTTTGTTCAACTACTTGACTGGATGAGCGAATAGGAACTAGAGGAAGATGCATAACTCTCAGTTTTCAAGAGTTAAACACAACGTAACTTCTGAGAGGACAGCTAGGGAAAGCTTAATTGATCACAAATGCTAAAATTCAACGTATTGTGAAAATCAGACCAAGCGTTCGAATAAATTTTTTATATATATTTTTTTTTAATCTCATTTTTATAGTTTTATTTTACTATTAAAATTGGGCTAAGCATTTGTTTAAAAAAAAAATTATTTCTTAGCAATTACTTATAAATCATCTAAAATTTACTATTTATAAATCAACTTTCCTCTATATTCACTCAAAAATAAAAATTCATAATAAAACCTCAACACATAATTTTTATTTTTATCAAATCCTTAATTATTTGATTGCGGCACATATAAATATATTATCTCATTAATTAATAAAAAATATTTACTAAATAATTTATAAATATTAATATTTTAGATGATCTTTATGTAAGTAATTATAGTTTTCATCATATATTAGACAGTAGCATTTATGATGCATGGGAGTGCATAATCCTAATTTTATTTTATATATATATAATTATTTTTATTTATTTTATTTATTTTTGGAAGTAACAAACGGACTTATGGTAAGTGGGGCCACAAAGCAATGTGATTTTGAGTTCTTCAACCTTTATTTTTTTTCCAGAAAATATATACTTCAGCCTTAAATGAATTATTATACATTTGCGTGCCCATTTTGGCTTTCGAATTGCAATCGTACTTTATCATATGTAGCTTGTGTTCGTGCTCAGTTCGTTTGAGATTTAATTTGTTTGAAATAAGCTCGTGTTCGAAATTATTCGTGAAGTCACTGTTCGTGTTTGTTTTTTAACGAACGAGCCAGTTTGACATCCCTAATATTAATATATATAAATAATATATTTTATTAATTATATATTTGATATTATATAAATATATAATATTTATATTTGTATATTACTAATATAGCATATTAATATATTATTATTATTATTATTAATTTATTATATATTATAATTTATAAAATTTAATTTTTTAAAATATCATAAATTATATATATATATATATATATATATAATTATTTTAAATTATTTTATATTTCGAACAATAACAATTCGAACACGAACGAATGCATCACTGTTCGTGTTTGGTTCGTTTAACTAACCGCAGAAAAAAAATTTATTCACATTCATCTCGTTTACTTATCGAACGAATTGAACACGAACCGAGCACGAACTGTTCGCGAACAACGAGCTTTTTTGACAGCCCTAATCACATGGTCTATAATTTGTCCCTTTGGCTATTTGTAAGACTATATAATAAAAAATTATTCAATTTTTTTTTTTATAATTTTTTAGAAAGCATTCAAAATATCAATATTTATGGATTAAACCACCGAATTGATTATTGAGAATTTAAAAAATTTGAGTGGAATTTAAAAAAAAAAAATTGATGAAAGAGGAATTGTTCATTTGTAAATAACAAATTTGGGATGATCTTTATGTAATTTTGCCCCTATATAAAATTTAAGTCAGGACCTTAAAAGTTAAATAGAACAAAAATTTGAATCCTTGTCAAAACTGCCCAACCTTTAATTTTATTTTAAATAAATAAGAGTGAAGCCTCCTTATCTACATCTCGCACATTAAATGTGTGGTCAAAGATGTGAATCGTATCATACTGTCAGACACGATATAATACAATCTACACCATCATTCACATGCCTGAATGACGAACGTAATGTTTTCCCCCCTTTAATTACGATATTGTAATTATAATTATTATTTCATTTATATCTCTATGCTGCCTGAACTATTTTTCTTTAGCGTCCTTTCAAAATTTCCAAATTAGTTGTTCGATTCACTCATGTGGTTTAGAGTTTGCAGAAATAACATATTGATAAGAATTATAACTATTCTTATATACGAACAAACAAATCTTTGCTCGTGTTCGGCTCATTTATACATCGAGCACAACAACAAAAATGTTCGTGTTCGGCTTGTTAACTTAGCAAACGAATCGAAGACGAGCACTTCTATAATTCTAAGGCTACCTCTGATAAATAACAGCAGCAGTTGCCTATTAAATCTGGCACCTTTAATTTTATCATATTTGCAGAGTCCACCCCCTCACAATATTTCTGTTTTGTCAGCTGCAAATAATGAACCATTGCGACAAAACCCCCACAACATGCAATGGCGTGCATGTGAGTTATATATATATATATATATATATATAAAGGAAAGGAGATGGGCTAATTTTCAAAGTTTGTTTAGGCCTTTTTGGCAAGCCCGTGACTCTTCCTGTACATGAGCAAGCGAACAAAGGCAAAAACAAGATGTGGGGACTGGGAATATTACAGCCTATAAAGAGCCCCACAACTACAATTTACATGAAATTTATGAGGCACAGAAAGCCAATATTTCATTTCACCATCTCCCCAATTTACATGAAAATTTTCTTTTAATAATGTATAAAAGCTATATATATATATATATATATATATATAAAGAAATTCAATATGTTGCAAATATAATGATGCCAGAATTAAGAGCTCAGAGATTAGGATTAGTCAGGAATGTGTATTGAGGAATGTGAGTTTTCAGCAAATGAAATATATGGAGCATTTACATATATACCACCCAATTCCTATGTATTTCCATATCAAACAATTAAAAGTTATATTTTTAAGTTTATATGACCAAAATCTTTCATAGCACATGAAAAATTCCTCCATTTTTTAGCTCTTGAAATATGAAATACATCTTTTTCATGCATAGGGAAGATGGCATATATTAAAAATTGAAGCTTAGGTGTTAGATATGTAAATACATAAGAATTGAGTGGTATGCACGTAAGACTTCCGAATATTTATATGCTTCTACGAGTAAAAAACTATGCTTGCATTCTGAAAATACATACAAGTCTATCATTGTTCATATTCTTCATCATCATCATCATCGTCGTTGTCATCGTCATCCTCACCCGTCTTTTTATATAAGCTGCCGGGACCAAACAAGCTCAGCTCATCCTTCCCCTCATCATCATTGATGGCCTCCAGTCCATATACCGTATTCCTGTGTTTAACAATGAGCCAACGAAGCAGGCGGTCTTCCTTGTTTAGGTACTGGAGTTCCTTGGGGAAGGAAGGTGGAACCATTACTGTCATTTGCATCAGGTGGCCCTGAAAAAACAACAGAATGCAGCATGCAAATGAATTATATGTAGTAAAATAAAAAATAATCAAATTAAATTTCATTTATGATTGCACCAATACATTCATTAGAAGGTTATACATGCTGTAAGTCCAAATTATCATAAGGAAAATATTCAGGTCAAGGAATTTACAGACCCTTCAGACTGTAGATTATGTCTAGAAACCGGCATGATAGTTCAATAGGACAGGAAATGTTTAAAACTGGGTATTGAATTAGTGGAACGAAAGATCCAGCTAGGATCCAATCGGGGTTCACGCGTGATGATATAAATATTATTTAAATTATTAAAATCATTTAAATAAGATAAGATTTCTAATAATGATTATAAATAATTGATAGATATGTGTATATATTATGTATCATCAAATATAGTCCATATATATGAAGTTAATAAAATATCACATTCCAACACCAACTCTCTATTGCAATTTCTAGTCAAACTAGTGCAACCACTCCTAGTTTTACGGGTGAGAGGTCTGACTGCTAATTTTTACGAGTTGACGCCGGTTATCTCTATAAATCTGATTTTCAATTGAACTAAATTGATTTGAGGGCTGGTTCATGGTGAACTGGTTCAACCTTCCTATCTGATCTAATTTTTAAAATAATAAGTATGACAACCAATCAGCATGAAACAAAAGCTTTTGTAGTGAAGGATTGTCTCACTGCTCCGGAAGTACAAAACTCTGTAGAAACTATCAAGTCTGCACTCAGTTTAGACTCAGAGAACCCAACTACTTCATATTGTCGAGGTTAACAAGCAATAATGAGAAATCCTTTCTGTTTATGTTGGTTTAAACAAGTTTTAATGGCTCATTAATTCAGAACCATTCTAGTTGACTTCCCTCTTAAAAATTTAATTGATAACGCGAAGAAATATCTTAGCCCCAAGAAACCACTTTAGAGAACGGCAACCAAAATGCTCATAATCACAGAAGGCTGCGTTTGTAAGACATAAATGTAGTAAGCATAAACAATTTCAATCTGATAAACAATTAGTAAATTGCATGCCCAAAATGTCACTTACGATACTGTAAAACTTTTCAAAAGAAATCACAGACGGGTTTTATTTGATTATAGAGCCTGCAAACCAGGAAGACATCTGACATCTTATTGGCTGAGACTTGACTCTAAAAAGAATGATCTGATAACATTTCATGTACGAAGCATAAAATTTGAACTGATGCATAAAAGGATACAAGAAAATGGTAATAATCCAACACAAGAACTTTTCAGAAAGCAAACCTAAAGCCGAACTTCAGCATTGTTTTACTGCATACATTTGCAGAAAAACTAAAAAAATTAGAAGTTAAGAAGCTTTAGAGGATAAGAAACAAGCTACAAAAGAGTTAAAAGCTTAATGCATTACCCGTGCCATTGAACTTAAAAGGGTAGCCATGTAGAGATGCTTGGTGGGTAATAACGCTCCGTCCCCCTCTCAAGTCAACTTTGGGTGGAGAGTTCTTATACGAGGGGATTAAGATATTGTAGTAACCTTAAAATTATGTTTCTGTGTACATACATCTGAAAGAGCTACAATTAATGTCGCAGCTGGAGTACCCCTTTCTGGTTAAAATGGCATATCCATTGGATTGCAATGGTACTTAGAAAGATTTACATGCATACCATTCAACGCTTATGCATTTATATATCTAAAACCAAAATTTCAATTTTTACATATATACCACTTTGGCTATACATGAAAAGGTGTATTTCAGTTTTTAAAAGTTAAAATGGTGGTATTGTTTATATGATATAAAAGATGTTTGAAAGATCTCGTAAATAATGATGATTATATTCCATATTTGTTATAATTCTATATTTGGAGTAATATAAATTGTATGAGAGATTTTAAGAATCTCTATTTATTTTTTTCTTTAATTAAAGAGATTAATTGCCTCTTATATTTGTTATTATTCCTTTTCTTGTCTGTTGTATTCTGTTTTTATTGTTTTCCTTACCAGTAAGTCCTGTAATAATTATTTATACCCCTCTTTGCATCAATAAGAATAAATTTGGTGAAAGTATTGCTTACTCCACGATCAAAATTTGGTGATACAGTTTGGTGAAAGTTGAGAGAAACAGAATACAACAGTATTTGAGATATCCCGCTCAATTATATTTTTCATCAAGTTCTAAAACATTTTTGAGAGGAAACACTTCTTGCTACAACATATCTTATCAATTGAATACCTAGTGAGGAACTTAACTTCAAAACATCACTCTATATTTTGATGGTTACATATTATCACATCAGAGCTTTCTCTTCTACCATACCATTTAAAATCTTAAGGTGTGTATCATTTGTTTATATTCATTCCCCAACTAATACCAAACTTGACCCTAAATCTATCGAGTATATTTTCTTTTGGCTATGCCTCCAACAAAAAGAGATATAAGTGTTACTCTTCTAATACCAAAAAATACAACTTCATTTATGTCATGTTTTTTAAAAATCAACCATACTACCCCAAATCTAATTTTCAAGAGAAGAGTTCAAATAAACATCAATTTTTGGATGCATTTGTTAACGCCTATATGGCAACCCAACATACTCTTTTCACTCCTTTACCTAACCCTCACACCTTTGATAAGAATATCCAACCAACCCAACTTGAAGTCCATAACAAAAAAACTTTGTGCGTACACAGAGAAAGAAAAATCTTGATTAGGAAAAAGACAAATTGCAAAGGCATAACTGCTCCAACCAAAACTCAAGTCCACAATTACCTAAAATTTTTGGTGAGGAGTCTAAAACTCAGGAGTTATCACGTTCAACTTCTGATGTTGATGACAATAGAAGTTGTACTAGATACCCAATTCAAGATTATGTAGTGTTATCTAGCCTTGATAGCATATAGATTCCTAATTTTGTTCATGAAGCACTTGAAAATTCATAATGGGCAAAAGCAGTCGAAGATGAGATTCAAGTATTAAAATATACTGACACATGAAATAATACTAAACTCCCTCAAAATAAGAAACTAATTTTATGCAAATGAGTGTTCGACATCAAATACAAAGTTGATGGAGATATTGAGAGATTCCAAGCCATTTGCAAAAAGTTTCACATAAGCATATGGGATTGAATAATAAGAGACCTTTGCACCAGTTATCAAATTGAATACTATCAGAGTTTTCCTTTCAGCAGCAGCTAACAAGGAATGGTGACTACAAAATGTAGTCCATCAATAACCTAGTTGTACTGATCATACATGTGAATGATATGATTCATACTAGTGATGAAAAAAATTCTTAAAATAAAAAAAGTGTCTGCTATTGAGTTTGAAATCAATAACCTAGGAAACATGAGATATTTTCTAGGTTTGGAGGTAACAAGGTCCAAGAAATGCACTGTTATAACACAGAGGAAATACATCCTAGATCTACTAAAGGAAACAGGGATAATTGGTTGTAAACCTGCTGATACTCTAATGAAACCCAATTAGAAGTCTAACAAAGAAGAAGAAAATATATTCGTGGATAAAGAAAGATACCAAAAATTGGTAAAAAAACTCATATGTCACATACTAGGACAAATATTATATACTTTATAAGTATTATGAGTCAACACATGAATGGTTAAAATGAAGAGTATTTGGAGATGGTGTGCATGATTCTACGATTTCTCAAGAAGCCTACCGCTTATGGATTATTTTTTTAGAAAATAAAAGACAGAATATATGTATGAGAAAATCTGGTTACATGGAGAAGTAAGAAGCAAGTTTTTGTTTCTAGAAGCAGTGTAGAATCAGAATATAGTGCACTCGCCTTGAGAATCTATGAAGGGACTTGGATTCAAAAATTATCAAGGGAATTAGGGTGTACCTCTAATAAACATATAAATATATTTGTTCAGCCAAGCAACTATAAGTATTGTCAATACTCTTGTTCATCATAACAGGACCAAGCATATTAAAGTTTACAGGCACTTCATTTCTGAAAAGGTTAATGGTGGAATTATACAAGTGAGCTACAACCCAACATGCCAACAAGTTGTTGAAGTCTTCGCCAAAGCTCTTCCTTTAAGTTCCTTCTCAGAATTCAATATCAAGTTTGGTCTCTAAAAAATCTATGACACAGCTTGAGGGGGATTCTGAAAAATCATGAAGTAACCGATCGCTTCCTTGGGTAGGTCAGTTGGCCACCTACCTATCATGGAAGATTGAATAGGGAGATAACTTTGGAAACTCCTTAGTTTATTTTATTCTCTTCCTATTTATGTTTTTTTTATTTTTATTTTAGAATTATTTCCATGTCAATTTTAGATTAGTTATATTTGGTATTTTTATAAGCTAGGAGAGATTTGTTTCCCTATATATATATATATATATATATATATATGTACCCCACATGTGAATAATTAAGTGAAGTAATTTTTCTTCCCCGTACCTGTGTTCTACACTTCTCATAAGGAATATCTTTATTACTATCACCTGAAAGTTTTTCTCTTTCATAATAAGAATAATTTCCTCACTTTAATATAAATTCTTAATTTAACAGCACAAAAGTAAATTAAAAAGTCTTAAAAATATTTATATCTCAAAATACTTTCTCCTCGCACAAACATTTAAGTTTATGATCCTTAAAACAAACTCAGCTCATGGGGTGGAAAAAATACAAAAATCAAAATTTTGCTATAGATCAAAACTCTAGTTCTTGCTTTCCCACTTCTCCCTCACGTCATACTCTTCCACATGGCACTCTGTTTGCTGCCAGGTGAAGTTATGGGAATGGAAGTAGAAAAATGGATACCTTGGCTATAATACTACTTAAGCATTTAATTTATGTAGCTATAATTATTATAGTATAGCAGAAATCTCAAATCCAGTAAGTTTGCCATGCAACTGGCGGCGATTTAGTAAAGGATGACATAGTAAAGAATGACTGATAGCAACTTAAACTCATCAGTCATCCCTTACTAAATCACCCAACAACAACAACAATAAAGCATTAATCCCACTAC